CTTCAAGGGGAAGCTCTGGCCTTACATGGTTGCCTATCCTTGTCCCAGGGTGAATTTTGGGGTGTCCTGACCCTTCCCCCCCCAATAATTCTGGGGTTCTCTGGCCCCCTTTTCCTCCCCCCAGGGTCGTGACCCCACTGGAGCACCGGCCACGCCCGCGGGGGCTGGGGTTGGGGGCTGAGGCTGCCCCCCCGGGCGCCCCCAAACCCGGGGAGCCCTCCCAGGGGGGCCCGGCCGTGGGGGACCCCGTGCGCATTGAGGCCGGGCCCCACCGCGGCGTGGAGGGCAAGGTGAGACCAGTGCAGACCAGCACAAACCAGTACGGCTCTGCGGGGTGGCACTGGGCGTATTGGGCTGGCTGGGACTGAGGGGGGCACTGAGGGTGCTGACACCCCCCACTTCTCCCAGTATGGCACTGGGAAGCACTGGGGAGAACTGGGGCGATGCTGAGTGGGCACTGGGGGTAACTGAGAGGTAACTGGGCTGACTGGGCCCCCAGGTGGAGGCGCTGGACCCTGAGACCGGGCGAGCCCTGGTGCGGCTCCAGCTTGGGGGGCAGGTGGTGGCTGTGAACCAGCACGGGCTGAGCCCAGTCAGCACTGGTGAGTGTCCCAGTACAGACCAGTAACCCTTGTGCCCCTCCCCACTGTCCCCTGCAGCCTTCCCAGTAACGCTGAGGTCACTCAGCGTGGGCTGTGCCCAGTGAGTGCCCCAGTTCGGACCCGCACATCCCAGTAATCCTCCCCCTTACCACGGTAATTCCCAGTACTCTCCAGACTGGTTTGTGCCCAGTCTGAACTGGGGAGCCTCCCAGTGACCCCCAGTGCCTCCCAGTAACACCTCAGAATACCCCAGTAAGCCTCAGTGCCTCCTACTACGTCCCAGTTTCCCTCCAGTAACCTCCCAGTCCCTCCCAGTTTCCCACAGAATCCTCTCCCAGTGCCTCCCAGTAGCTCCCGGTTGCCCACAGGTGCCTGTGGCCGCCCCCTCCTGAAGGGGTCGGAGGAACAGGGCGGGGAGCCCCCGCGGGGAGGGTCCAAGCGGAAGGAGCCCCCCGAGAATGAGAGGTGAGGAGGGCTGGGGGGGCTTTGGGGGGAGGGCACCCCGGGGTCTCATTCTGGGGGTCCTGAAGCCTTGTGGGGGGCCCATTGG